CCTTCGTATCAACCTTCGTATCAACCTTCGTATCAACCTTCGTATCAACCTTCGTATCAACCTTCGTATCAACCTTCACATCAATCATATCAGTCAAATTATTATGTAGTACCAAGTACTGGAATGCCATTCTCCTCCAATGGAGGCGGAAATGAAACTAGTAACTCATCAAAGTCCATTGTAGATAAATACTTACGTTCGTCGATATTCCGGGGTGCTATCCTCAGTTGGATCGCTTCGGTCTTAATGTTATTACTAGCAATATTTGTAGCAATGCAGGGTCAAGTGAAGGACCATAATGTCATATGGGACTTACGAGTCGGACTTTTCTTGACAGCTGTAACAGTAACAACTATAGTAACGTCATTTGTTGTAGGGTTTATAGTACCAGCCATGTTAGCAGGAATGCTTATAATAGGCCAAATGTCCAACTTAAACGGAACGGGTACGATGATTAGTCAATTAATGGAAGCAGCCATGTCTCGTAGTTTATGGTGCACTTTGGCATCCTGCTTTAACTCCCGTAAAACTCGGAAACTATCTATTATTATTGCCTTAGTCGTAGTGTGGCAATATGTTGCGATATTGGCTGACTTATATCTTCATGCCACTGCTATCGGAAATTCCCAACAGCTGCCTGGGCCAACAGTCCCAAGCACCCGATCATTAGAAATAGCAACTAATTGTTCTGAGATATCTTATTTAAATAATTGTGCATCACAAATTAAGAATCCGAGAAAAACATTAACAGTTTACCAAAATACAAGTGATACCTTACAAATTCGGAGCAATGAAGAAGGCATTTATCTTTTGCAAGCTCCACCTTCAGAGAAAGCCTATTCATATTCAGGATCAGGTGTCTCTTTGCGTCCTTCTTGTGTACCTATTAGCAGTATATGTAATTTAAAAGCTAGATATGGTGCCATGACCAATTATTCTTGTCCCAGAACATTATGGTATGCCTCAGGAAATACAGTGACGAAAGATTTTGATGTAAACGTCACCAGTGCAATTAATAGCCAAGGAAAATATGTAGCATCTAATCCTATGCATGCAATAATTACTGCACGTTTCAGTAAAGTATCAACAAATTATGATTCAGAGTTTGTTACTGAAGTACATGGTGACCTTTCAATTTTACTACACTGCCAAATATTAGCTTCGAAGATCGATTACGTTATTACCCTTGGATCGTTAAAAGTATCCTCACAAGGAAATCTAACGAATTCTCAACTCTTTACTCTCGGCGCTGCATCAATGAATCATAACATGGCAGTTCGATCGATAATTGATGTCGAAGTTATAGCATATAAAGGAAATAGTACATTACTCGCTAATTCATTTGCACAACAATGGGCTCGAGCAACAGTATCTGCATTCAGCCCCATTATACAAGAAAATAGTGCAGGAGGGGGATATTCTTATACAATCGAGGTGAATAAAGACCAAACTATTGTTCCACTTTCGGCTGTTTCAATTTATGCCATTATTGTCATATTGCCGCTGTTAATTTTTTCGTATATATGTGTTTATTCTCTGTTTAATCGACACACAAATTGGATACTTGCAGAATTTATATGTACACCACAGAGATTGATTTATCAAGCCTTAGTTAATGAGCATAATATGAATGATGGTTGTTCGGAAATTTTGACAGCACAAGCAAATAGAATGGAAAAAATTGAGTGTAGTGTTGAAGTAAATAGGGATCATTGTGAGTTTTCGTCACAAATTTAAAAAATAATAATAATAATTCGTAATATAATCTTATTTTATCAGTGACAATAAAAAATAATAAATTTCTGCTTTAATATAGAAGATTTTGTGTATATGTGGTCTACCTTTTTTTTTATAAATAGAAAATAAAGATATCGAAATTTTTAATATTTCTTTTTTTTTTTTTTTTTTTTTTTTTTTTTTTTTGCGAGTGATGCGCAAGAAATTGGCCTACATTAATGTAATTTAGGTCGATTACCCAAATTGGCTCTAGCTTTTACTTTTTTGAATTACAAATACTTTATGCTATACGCAAATTGGGTAAAAATGTAATACATTACACAGCATATGTTCTCCTGAATACAATAATAGCCGAGTTTACTAACTTCAAAAGGAAATATAACAAAACACGTACACAACAGTATGTACTGTACCTGAAGCTTATAGATTTAGATGCTTAGATCTTTTTAATTGTTAACTCTTTCCGGGTGTTGTAAAGCATATGAACAGAAAATTTTCAACTATTCCCTATCAAACTTTAAGTTTTTAGGATCATAGCTAATCGATATGAATTTACGTTCACCAATATTCCAAGGCATTATACTTGGCTGGGCTGTTTCTATAATAATATTATTATTAATGCTCGCCGCTGGAACACAGGGTCAAAGGAAGGATCTCAATGTCATATGGGATCTGCGTGTAGGTCTATTCTTGACTGCTGTTACAGTAATTACAAGAACAACATCTTTTGTCGCTGGACTTATGGTACCAGCCATTTTATCAGGTATACTCGCCATTAACAAAATATCTAATTTAAATGGGCCAAGTACAACGATTAGTCAATTAATGGAAGCATCTATGTCTCATAGTCTATTTTGCACTTTGAAATCTTGCTTTAACTCTGGTCAAACTCGTAAGCTCGCTATCGCTATTGCTTTGGTCTTTACATGGCAATATCTAGCAACGATAGCTGATTTATATCTTCATACAACTGCTATCGGAAATTCCCAACAACTGCCTGGAACAACAGTCTCAAGCACCAGATCATTAGGCATAGCAACCAATTGTTCTGATACATCTCTTTTAGACAATTGCGTGGCACGTTTACGTGGAATGAAAAGTCCAGATAAAGCATTTGATGTGTATTACAATACAAGCGATTCTCTAAAAGTTTGGCACACTAATGATGGAGTTTATCTTTTGCAATCACCGCCTTCAGAACAAACCTATGCATATTCTGGATCTGCTGTCTTTTTGCGACCTTCTTGTAAACCTATTAGTAGTGTGTGCAATTTAAGAAGCATAAATTTCACTGTTACAAGTTACAACTGCCCTAAAACACTGTGGTCTGCTTCAGGTAGTTTACTTATTGTTAATAATACAGAAGCAACTGATATAGGCGTAAATGTTACCAACAGAAATTTTGTCTTACGACAAAGTTATATAGCATCTAATCCTATAGAAGCAATTGCTTTTGCACGCTATGTTAAAGATTATTCAACCAATTATGATTCTGAGTTTGTGAGCGAATTAAATGGTAATATCACAATTCTACTACATTGTCAATTGCTCTCCTCAGTAGTCGATTATGTTGTTACTCTTGGATCTCTAAAAGCATCTCCACAAAGAAACTTGACAAATTCTCAACTTTTTAATCTTGGTGTTGCGTCAACACAATATGAAGTGATGCGTATAGCACAACGTGATATCGAAATCGTAACCTACAAAGGAAATAGTACATTATTTTCTGATTCATTTGCGCAGCAGTGGGCCCACGCAACTATTTCTGCATTTAGCGTTATGGTGCAAGGAAATGGGACAGCAAGTGGGTATAGTTATACGTTTGAAGAGGATAAAGACCAAAGTATTGTTCCACTTTCAGCCACCTTAGTCTATGCACTTGTTATCACATTCCCATTGTTAATATTCTCCTGTATATGTCTTTTTTCTCTACGAAACCCACATATCAACTGGACTCTTGCTGAATTCCTTTGTGCACCACAAAGACTATTTTATCAATTATTAATTGGGACACATCATGTAAATGATGGTTGTTTGAATAATTTGACAGAGCAAACAGAAAGAATTAAAAATATTGAATGTAATATTACAGAAGATGGTCATTTTGAATTGTTACAAAGTTAAATTAAGAATATTTTATCTCTACTTTTTTATTTTATTATTATTAGTTTTTGTTTTTTTAAAAAGTACTCTAAACTGTATAAGTAATGTAATATATTAAATTAAATTTATTAGCCAATTAGACAAACTTCTGCTTATAACATAACTATGACATATGCAATCAGCTGATATGTTATAAAGTTATATAGACAGTATCGTCACTTTTGATACATCATATTTTATAAAATAAGTTAAATAGCTTATAATATTAAGGTTTAAAAATAAATTTATTTAAAATTTTTTTTATCAATTTGCAAATTTATAAAAATGTTTAAATTAGATAGTTTTTAATTTATAACTTTTTTTTATTATGCAATTTATATTTTATCTATTAAGTAAAAATGTTTTTAATATTATTTTATATACAAGATAAATGTTTTTTAAAATTTAAAAAAAAATTTATTAGAATAATTTATAAATAAGTACTTATAAATATAAAAAATATAATGATTTTTTATATAAAATATATTTATATAACAAGTTTATAAAATTAATAAATAATATATTTTTAACTAATAAATACAAAATATATATTAAGATATTTAGTATATATATATAAATATAAATAAAATTTGAGCATGGTAATATAGTAAAGTGGTTATGTTATTAATCTTCAAGTGGCAGGTCTAGAGTTCAAATTTCAGTGACTACAAAAATTTAAAATTCTTTCTGTGTTATAATTAACTGTCTTCTACTATTGATTAGAAGCAGATATCTATTATCTATGTCATACTAATATAACTGAAAGGTTATATAACATTTGTATAATAGTTGCACCTTGTATAAAAGAATACAAACTAGTACCAGACAGTGTAAATCTATGATAAGTTCTTGTAGTTATATAAATCATAAAAACTAGAAAGATAGAAATTTACTTGAAAGACCTAAATAGAGAAATAGCTTAAATTTTTGACAATATTATTGTAAAAATTAGATCTATAAAATAGAGTTAGAATTTCTAAAACTGAATAATGATACAGTCTTTAAAAAGTGTTATTATAACCAACCAGATTACTAGGATCTATTCTAGAAGAAAAGGTTATATATTAGAGAACATGTAAACCAGAGTTATAATTGTATTTATTTTTTTAGACTATTTGAACTAAAAGTTCAATAGAACTTGAATTGAATACCAAAATAGTAGAAATATGTTGTAAAGTAAGTATCAGATTTGAAATAAACTCTACAAGGACATAGCAGTTTAATAGTACATTCTAATCACAAATATTGATTTTAGTTATAGTATTACTAAATCAGCTATAAGAATAAAATACAAAAAAAGATTTTAAAAGATTTAATACAAGGTCAAAAGTTTTTCATATAAATAAATTGCTTTAAAAACTTAGTAACTATAACATACAGCATTTTTATTAGTATTAATTAAGGTCATTAATAGATATAGATAGGTAGATAGATATAGAAACTAAAATATTTAAATAAAGAATTTATAAGCAGGTTTCAGATATAGCAATTAGTATAGAACCTTCAGAAAAATTACTTAAATTAGACAATAATTAAAATTACATAAGTAGTTAGTTGTATACTCTTTTTATGATTGCTCTCTATAGTTGTAATGCAACTATTAGCTAAATATATTATTAATAAAATTTTGGATCACAACTACTTATCTTAATATTCTAAAAAAAATATATATATATAAATAAAATTTTTAAATTCTAAAAAAATTTATAATTACTATTTTTTTTTAATATTAAAAATAAGTTTATAACTTATTTTTTTTTTTTTATTTATATAATATCATAGTAGAAACTTTAAAATACAATAAGAAATTTAATTACAGAAAAAGAAATTCCTAAAATAAAGATTTCTAAACTACATTTGTGTTGCTAAAAAAATAGATACCCAATGTAACATTACACCTCCTATTTCCTAATAAGTGCTATAGATAATTGTTTCAAATTATTTTCTAGCTAGGAT